GGCACAAAAACTTTTCTCGTACGATACTAGATCGTATGATTTTCATTTAATCAGCACAGTTTTCGTCCAAAAATACAATACAAATACATTACATCCCTTCCAAATTTTCTGTCGCACCAGAATTTTCACAACTTTAGTAACCTCTTCACTTTCGATATGAGACTAGCATGCAAAAAAACAAAAAAAAAAAAACAATCATTCGTCCAAAATTCTCATTGTGTGCACGGGGCTTTAGGCTTCTGCAGAAGATAGATATGAGGGGAGATTGTTCCTCGAAAACCATGCAGATCAGCTTAGCAATTTAACCAAAGTGAAATTCATATATGTATGGACAGGACAGGTATGGGGATGAGAGACAAGCAGGAGAAGGGACTGGAAGCTTCCAGCAGCCTGCCACAACTGTAGTTTTAAGGCTACAACCATTTGCTCAAAATGTTCTATAACCAAAGGGTCAACTGCAGCACAGGTAAGATCTATTTTAAAGGGACTTTGACTCTAAAGAGGGCTTCCAACCTTTTGTTGGTTGGTTCCTTAAAGAAAGGTACATCCTCCACCAGAATAGTGGGTGCTCTAAGAGGAGCTGTTCTCTTCAAATAGGTACAAGGCTAATAAGTGCTTGGGGGAAGCAAACCTTGTCAGGGTTTTTTCAATTTCAATAGAGGAAGAGCTGGAACAGCAGATGAAGTAGGAATGTCTATGCAGTCTTAGGGGTTCTACAGGACCCAATATTTGGAATAGCACTGGTGAAAGTAATAGGCTGAACCTCTAATTTCAGGATGTATGCACCACATCAATATGCGCTGAAATGTTCTCTTGAAATTTGGTAATGGCAGAGGACAGGTACTACTCAGAAACAAGCTCATCAAGGAAGGACAGGAGCGACTCAGAGATGCCAAGGCCACAGAAAAATCAAATGCAGAATCTACAGGAGAAGGTGTGGGAATGCACTTGTGGTCTCTGCGGTCAGAGTTGGTAAATAACTGGGTGATTTGGACCATAAAGTCTTGCATGGCTGTAGAAAAAAATCTCAGCCCAAAGGGAAGAGGAGATGGCCATACCTCAAGGCGCTCAGAAAGATTCCCAAGAAGGGATAGACTCCATGAGCAGATCGCAACAGGCTTCTAGGATGCAGCCTCATCAGCAGGCGCAATGCAAGGAGCCCCAGAGAGTAGAGTGTGAGCTCAAGGTACATGGTACAGCAGGACTGTTCCCTCCCCCTTCTAAAATCAATGTGTTGTGGCTACGCGAAATAAACCAACAAACAGTTCAGGGTATGAGGCCAGGCCTAAGGTACTTCCAGACAGTTAGTAGGAGGGTGAGAGTCAGATGGATGGAGGTGATTATATTTACTGCAGACAGACAGCAGGAATAGATCTAAGTTCTGTGGCTCTTTACAGAGGAGGAACAGTAGCGAGGAGATGCTTCCTGGACACTGTATAGTGGTAAAGAGTGTAGGCAGCACACACATCTCTCCACCCAGTGGAACACATTAGTGCTCCCTCCCACAGTCGTTAACAAGCAGGAAATGGGTCATTTTAGAGGCCAAGCAATCTATGTACATGAGGCAGTTTCTGGTGCTCAAACTGACTGGCCCACTCACAAAGGGAGTCTTAAAAAACAGGGAAAGTGCTGGGATAAACCCAAAAACTTTTTACCAGAATGAAATCTGGAAAACACCTTACATAAAAGCCAGTGCACTTCCAGGCTATCCTGGCAATGTCCAGTCCAGCAGGGTCCAGATATGGCCCTCCAAAAGCCAGGTTGAAGACGACTGTGCCAGACAGCTTCAATCAGAGAGACCAGCTCTAGCAGCAGTCTAGCAAAGGGTCTTGATTGAGGAAAAAATTATCTTGGAGAGTAAAACAAAAGTGCTAGCAAAATACAGGTTAGTCTTTTACACAGGAGAGCTGAAGAAATTACAAGGCAGCATAACCCAAAGGTGAAAGACGTTCTGTATCCCTCAAGAGACAAGAAAGACGAGTCTTTAGGACCTTAGGAGACCTATAAAAACCAAAGCCAGAAAAAGCACTAGCTGATGCGACAAGCTGAACCCTCAAGTTTTAAAGTAGTACACACTGTATCAATTGGATCCAAAACAGTCTCCTTTAACTTGGGAGTAACAGCAGTGGACTATAACTCCTCAGGGGAAAACACATTGGTCAAGGACATGAACAATTCATAATACTTAGTATCCATTGCTGATGCCTAAAAAGCCACTAAGGCCGCAGGTAAATTGGACAACAAATCTGCTGGAGAGGGTAAATTAGAATGGTTGTGGCCTCTGCTATACAGTGGGGATCGAAAGTTTGGGCACCCCAGCTAAAAATTTGTATTAATGTGCATAAAGAAGCCAAGGAAAGATGGAAAAATCTCCAAAAGGCATCAAATTACAGATTAGACATTCTTATAATATGTCAACAAAAGTTAGATTTTATTTCCATCATTTACACTTTCAAAATAACAGAAAACAAAAAAATGGCGTCTGCAAAAGTTTGGGCACCCTGCAGAATTTATAGCATGCACTGCCCCCTTTGCAAAGCTGAGACCTGCCAGTGTCATGGATTGTTCTCAATCATCGTCTGGGAAGACCAGGTGATGTCAATCACAAAGGTTTTAAATGCCCAGACTCATCTGACCTTGCCCCAGCAATCAGCACCATGGGTTCTTCTAAGCAGTTGTCTAGAAAACTGAAACTGAAAATAGTTGATGCTCACAAAGCTGGAGAAGGCTATAAGAAGATAGCAAAGCATTTTCAGATGTCAATATCCTCTGTTTGGAATGTAATTAAGAAATGGCAGTCATCAGGAACAGTGGAAGTTAAAGCAAGATCTGGAAGACCAAGAAAAATATCAGACAGAACAGCTCACAGGATTGTGAGAAAAACAATTCAAAACCCACGTTTGACTGCACGATCCCTCCAGAAAGATCTGGCAGACACTGGATTTGTGGTACACTATTCCACTATAAAGAGATACTTTAAAGAGGTACAAATATGGTCTTCATGGAAGAGTCATCAGAAGAAAACCTCTTCTACGTCCTCACCACAAAAAATCATCGTTTGAACTTTGCAAATGAACATATAGACAAGCCTGATGCATTTGGGAAACAAGTTCTGTGGACCGATGAGGTAAAATTGAACTTTTTGGCCGGAATGAGCAAAGGTACGTTTGGAGAAGAAGGGGCACAGAATTTAATGAAAAGAACCTCTGTCCAACTGTTAAGCATGGGGTTGGATCAATCATGCTTTGGGGTTGTGTTGCAGCCAGTGGCACAGGGAACATCTCATGAGTAGAAGGAAAAATGGATTCAATAAAATTTCAGCAAATTTTGGATGGTAACTTTATGCCATGTGTGAAAAAGCTGAACTTAAAGAGAGGATGGCTTCTACAAATGGATAATGATCCTAAACACACCTCCAAATCCACAGGGGATTACATCAAGAGGCGTAAACTGAAGGTTTTGCCATGGCCTTCACAATCTCCTGACCTCAACATAATTGAAAATCTATGGATAGACCTTAAAAGAGCAGTGCGTGACAGACAGCCCAGAAATCTCAAAGAACTGGAAGACTTTTGTAAGGAAGAATGGGCAAAGATACCTCAAACAAGAATTGAAAGACTCTTGGCTGGCTACAAAAAGCGTTTACAAGCTGTGATACTTGCCAAAGGGGGCAGTACAAGATATTACCTCTGCAGGGTGCCCAAACTTTTGCAGACGCTATTTTTTTGTTTTCTGCTATTTTGAAAGTGTAAATGATAGAAATAAAATCTAACTTTTGTTGACATATTATAAGAATGTCTAATCTGTAATTTGATGCCTTTTGGAGATTTTTCCCATCTTTCCTTGGCTTCTTTATGCACATTAATACAAATTTTTAGCTGGGGTGCCCAAACTTTCGATCCCCACTGTAAGATTCTGCAAACAAGTGGGTAAATTTAAGCTATCAAGTCATGGGTGACCATTTTAAAACATCTGAAAAGGCAGTGGGCCCAGCCAAGTCCAAAGGAGCCAAGGAGGGCAGCATGATTCAGTCCCCAACCTGTTAGCTGAGAATGTGTTGGGGCACCTGGTACAGCAGTACTGTTCCCCTATGTCTGGAATCAAATGTATTTCAGCAAAAGTGAGGTAAGCAAGGTAGAGGCTTAAAGAAAGACCTTGAGTATAGCAATGGGTGAAGCTTCCCTATCAAAGGAATGTTGAGGCCAAAGTTACTGTAGGTGGCAGTGGGAATGGATTTAAGTTCCATGTGGCTCTTTGCAGCAGGAACAGCAGCAAAGGATGCTTCCTCAATGTAGTTTTGCTTGAAAGAGTGTGTAGACAGGGCAGCACTTAACCCAGTGGATTGACATCAGTGCTCTACTACCCCACAGCATTAACTCTTTCCATGGCAGAGCCTTTGGAAAACAGGGAATAATGGCACCCAGCAACCAATAATAAATGTTCCCAGTGCCTGGTTCCAATGGCCTACCAATCAAGTGGGTTTTTAGACACAAGGCAAAAGGTAATGCCAGCAGTTCTGGACCAGAAACGTACCCAGCTGCTAACTCATAAGTGAGTGTGGAAAGCACCACATGGACATCAGTGCCAGAGAGACACTTCCAGGCTTACCCTACAACCATCCAGTCAAAAACCCAGGCTGAGATAACTATTGGAGAAAAAAAAAGGGGGGCATGCTGGTAGTAGAGGGTGTTATACCCTAGGCTAGCCTATAGTTTTTTGTTTGCCAGTGTCAAAGCCTCCCGTAAGAAGCAGTAGAACTTAAAGATGTTATGTGTCTATCAATGGAAGAGAAAGAAATTAAGTCCCTTTCTTTAAGTGTTGTTTCCACTGATGAACTGTAGCAACATTAATACCAAGCATTTTTCACAGGCCTGTTCAACATGTTTTCAAAATTTTCACATGGGAATGTGATTTGAAACCACTGCAGAGTATTCAACAACTGTGATGGTAGCAAAACAACTTTACAAGTGTTAGTAGTATTCAAAAATGACAAAAAGTACCATTTTCAGCAGGAGGTGAAATATTGGATTCACTCTGTCCATTATCTTGATCTTGTCCTACATGATTAGACGCCAGACTGGCCCATTGTGATGCCCAACGTTTTTTACTTGATGAAGTCATATCCTGAAGAAAAAATAAATAAATCTGAAAGTTAAAAGCAACTCTAGTAATCAAGTAAAATCAACAAGCGAAGAGCGAACGCTAATCAAAACAATGCCAATAAAGGCAGATTGACCAAGTTATCACTGAGAATTATATAAATCCTTTAGAACTTCTGGAAAGGTTTGCTGCATTTTTTCACACAATTTTGTGCTATTCAACCTTTCTCTCAATGTATTTGTGTACAGCAGGCTACAATGGGCTTCAAGAGTAGGGGTTGTTACAGTTACAGGTATTTACATAGTGGAACGTTCAGCTGTACAAGATGAAAACTAGAACTACTGAGCAAGTAGACTGTCTCAATTCCGATGCAAGATTTTGATCAAGCAAATTCTGCTGCCAGTGGGGAAAACCTGAGGCCTAAAACCCTGGGGACATTATAGAGGGAAGAGACCACCTCACCCTGAAAAGGCTGAATCGACATGCCAGAGAATTCTTGGTCCATAGGGACCATGCAGATGTCTCACCTTAAGTCCAGGCTTCCAAATACTAAGGGGGAGGCTTAAGCAGGTAAAAAGGCAATGAGAGTAGGTAAAACAACATTAAGAAGTTTTTCTCTCAACACACTATAAGCCCCTAAAGGGGAGGAATGAGGAATATTATCTGGCCCCCTGCGGCATTTATAACTATGGTGTTAAGAGTAGGTTCAAAGAGATGAAAGGGTAAGTGAATCAGAAGCTCCTTAGACGTCTCATCAGCATTCTACATGGGTAGCCAGCGTGCCCTACATATTGGCACAGACATCAGTTCCATGCAATATACAAGAGTAAAGGCTTGCAGTAAGAATAAGGCTCCAGACATTTGCTTCAGCCACTCTACAAAACAAGGGCCTATCTCCACAATGGAGGAATCCCCTTTAAGGGATTTACCTATTCTGACATGGTTTGACAGATCAGGAATCCTGCCAACACAGGGCAAAGAGCTATATCACTTAATTCCAACTGGGATCTAATGAGCGAATTCAACTGTCAGTGAAATACTGAAAGGTGAACATACTTTCCACCCTTTAAAAGCATCACCAAAGTCATAAAACAAAAGAAATGTCATATTTGCTTCAGTATATCATTTTAACATTTCTCACCTTGTACCTCTAAATTTTCTTTCTCCATTTCGTCCCCATAAATACCTTGGACTAGATGACAAGAACCACATTCACACTGATTTCCTGGATACCTGTGTCAACATTTCCTTCTGGCTTCCTAAAGTCTTCCATTGCAGTCACACAAACAAAAGCTCTGAACTACTCCCTCACAGCTCCACACCTACTTCTGAATGTCTTGCCATTGCCACCATCCACCTCTCTACTTTAGATGCCTCTGATACAGCCTGGAACCGAGGAAAAAGCAGAAGAATCGATATCGCTTATATTAAATGTGGTGCTAGACTACCTGGGAAATGCAATCTGCTTTAATGAAAGAAGCTGACATAAGAAGCAATTCAAATAAACTAAGACAATAAAAACAGCAGAAGCTGCTGATGGGAACATGGAGGTATAAAGACTGATTTTACAAGAAAAAAGAATTCAGAAAAAAAACGTGGTTTTATGAATTTCATATTGCATGTTCTATACATTATTGTGAAGAGTATAACTTTAGATTTCCTTTAATTATATTTCACTGCTAAGGTGGGTCAGAGACAGGTCACTGCCAGAGATAGGGGCCAATTGATCCAAAAACCAGGCACAAACAGATAGAAAGTTCAGAGTGGATATGAAGGTCCCAGTGGACATAGGGAAGACTTTGACTCCCCCCATTCCCAGACAGAGCTGAAGGAGACTCCGATTATGACAACCCTAAGACCACCTGGGGCTGCCAAATAAATATCCCCTGAACCACTAAGGGATCATGGGCTAAAGTCACCCGTGGCAGCAGGAATGCCCTTTCTATGCCATGAGAAGAATGTTGTGTAGTAGCAACTAGGCCCAATGCAATCCCCGGACAACTGGTACTGATGAGGGTTTTATGCAACCAGGGGTGACCCTTTTGAAGGCAGTGGAAAAAGGCCAGAGACAAAAGACACACGGTGCTTCAAGAGAAGCAGAAGAAGAATGATGCCTTTTTCAGGCTGAATGGCAGGAAAGAATGTATGCACAGCACTCCACCCAGAAGATTGCAGTCAGTGCTCAACCCCAACCGCAGTGATATCAGCAGTGCCAAAAAATTTTAAAGAGTCCAAAACTGTGCAAACAGCGCCGTACCTTCTACTGCTTCAGCCTATCCAGCCTTACTCAGAGTCTTCACAGAACTGCTCATGCCTTGGACTGTGCCAAGGCTGTGGACCTGGAAAGCACTCTGCACTTATGAACACAGAAGACTAAGATCTAGAAAGCACCAAAATACAAAATCCCTGCTGTGCTAGGGAAATACTTCCAAGTCATCATTTAAGTAAACAGATATTGAGTGGTTTGCTATACTGAAAAAATAAAGCAGGCCAAGTCATTGTAATATCTATACAAAGGCTGAAATCAGAAATAAAGATTATGAAATCCATAAAATGTGTAATGTACACATGAAAAGGTTTCACTTGAAGAATTACTTTTTTATGCATTTAAAAAAGCATATAGAATGCAAAACATGTTAGCTGATCTTGCTGCTATGCAAGCAGATAATACAACCAAAGCACAGGCACATGGCTTTATAAAACTACTTGGTGCTGGCACTTGTGGTATCTGTGTACTTTGAAAATATTAACAGTATCAACAAACTGATGCAACTGACAGGTTTACTTTAGAGCCTCATTCACACCATACATGCAGAAACACTAATGGAAACTGACGCGCGCAGATTTCACTTGCAGAGACATCAATTTACATCAGTTTTTATCCGTGCTTCAATGAGTTTTATACACATTGCAGATTCCTGCTCAGAAAAAATGTGCACGGGATACCAGTGTTGTGGTTTGAACAAGGTTCACAGAAAACAAACTGATTTTTTTGTGCCCTTGCAGAACGCATGCAGAAAAACTGAAGTCTCTGCACCATGGTGTGAACAAGCCCTTAAAGGACAAATGTACCAATGTACGGTTGTCCTGTTATAAGTATGCACCCCCAACCCTTTTCCCACTTGGAGCTACAGAGCCTTTTGCAAAAAAAAAAAAAAAAAGACCATGGCTACATTCTTTGTTACAGGAAAGTCATACTCCAAGCCATTGATTGAGGCTGCTTAAGGTACAGACTTCCTATAGGAATGAAAAGGCTATGCAGTGCCAAGCAGAGCTTCACAGTAATTATCATTGGATCAGGGCAGAAGGTATTTCAACTAGTGGGTAGCACTTAGGGGGTGTATTATTGGACAATTATACAAAGGTACAGTTGTCCTTTAACCCCTTCGTGCCCAAGGGTAAAACAAATCTTAACGCCTAAGCACAAGTTTGCAACTTTGACATGTGTTAGTAAAACCATACTTATCATCACAATTACTTTGTGCATACAGGTGGATTATATCTCATTTTTTTCAGGACAACTTGGGCTTTCATTTGGTGGTAAATGGTAATAGATATCTCATGATTTTTTTTTTATTATCAAAGAAAAACTGGCCCAAAATAGTAAAAAAAAATATATATTTTTTTTTTTATTTAGTTACTACCATAACCTACCACCAAAGAACTACTTTCTCCTAATGACCGCAGTGATACCACATGTGCGCAAGTTAGTTGCTTGTACCTAGTACTGCCCAGAAACAAATAGTGCACATTTTGTGTGACACTGATACCAATTAAAAAAAAAAAAAATTATATATATATATATATATATATATATATATATATATATATATATATATATATATATATATATATATTATATACACACACTGATCATGACTCTTGACCCAAACACTAACCCTGGCACAGACCTAGATCAAATCTTGATCTAGGTATTTTTCTTATTAATTATTTTTATTTATTTATTTTAAACACTTGTTTTTTTTCTCTCTGAAAGGACAGAGAGAGATACAATGTATCTCTCTCCTCCATTCAAAGAGAGAAAACAAGGGGGCAGGCTTCACAGTGACTGCCAATAAGAGGCCATCACAGCGATCAGGTGACCCAGAATCAGGAGTTTTGGGTCCTGATCATTAGAATGGGACCCAGGACTTACAACAAGACCTTGTTCTCTGTGCTTGGAAGTGCACTGTGCGGCACGCTCCCAGCACAAAGACAGGTACGTAAATTAGCGGCCTCACGGAAAAAAGCCCAGTCCAGTGGGGCTGCATTTTTGAATAGAGCAGGTGTGAAGGGGTTAAAGCCTAATTTTAGTCAAAAATAAAATTTAAAGAAAAATAGTACAAGGGACATGACTTACTATCAATCCATTGTGTCCCTTGTGTGCTGGCTCCTGCATTAGTAGAATTCTTCCTCATATGACTGCTCAAACACACAGCGACCCTGCCACCGCAATCTTCCAGTAGAGCAGGAGTTCGAGCAGAGGGAACTGTAATATGCACCCATCAAGAGTGCCAAACACGCCCACCCTTTCTGCCCATCTCCTCCGTTCATGGAAGCTGTACTATAGCACTTCCATTATTAAAATCTGTGAATGGCGAGGTGGATCTTTCATTCATCTGTCATCCTCCATTCATAGTACAGCTTTTATAAATGGAAAAGGGGGTTGAACAGAAAGGGCAGGCATTATCAACAATCTTGATGAGTGCATATGACAAGTCCCTCAGTGGCTGGAGGAGGGAGAGACATTTCAATAATGCAGGATCCCGCATTACAAGAGACACACTACACTGGACTGATAGTTAAATATTGTCCCTTGTGCTGATTTTTCTTTTTTTAACCCAGGCTTTAACACAAAGGTTCACCCAATTTTGAAAGAGCAGTTTTGGTTGTATTTAGCACTTTATAGCAAAAAGTAGTATTTTGCAAACACAATATTTTATATTTTAACACACAGGTAATTTCTAAAAAAAAAATTCACTGAAACAGAAACAACCTGTCTGTGACACTAGCAGTAAATCCAAAAGCTGTTATGTGGGTTACCGTCGCACATGGTCCTTCTGCATCATCCCTGCTATTTGCCTTTTCAACAAGATGACTGCTCCTATGATCTTTCTCCAAGGAAGGCAATTCCACACTGTCAGATGTAATCCGCTTATTAGTTTGTCGATGTCCAAGGCTTCCAGAGCTCCTCAATAAAACATTTTGTGAAACTAATAAAGATGTGCAAGGCTCTTCAGATTTCTGTTTAAGCAGCAATTTTGCATGCTGTGTGCTATGAATTACTCTATGAGATGAGGCACCAGACTGTAAACCCAAACACAGCCCTTTAGGATCAACAGAAGCAGCTTGACTTTATCTATCCTTGACTGTGGGATTGGATATGGAGCTTCTGGGCCAGAAGTGCTGGTGTTTAGAGAGAAAGAATACGAGCGTCTTTTTCTTGGGTGGTCATCATCAAAAAACTCTATTAAAAAAGCAGTCTGACTTGCAGTTTCCTGCTGCTTTCCTTCAGTCTGAATCTTCTGCTCCAGCTTTTTCTGCTCTGCAAGACCCTCTCTCCCACAATCTTGTACATTGGTACACTTGTTTCTATGTTTAAATGTTGCACTATTTTCATAGTCACTCTGTGTTCCATCCTCATGTTTGTTGCCTAAAAAGTAAATAATGAATTTAAAATTTAGACAAAAGACTGACAATTCTTCCTTTTTATATAACATATAATTCTAGATAATAATTCAGCTAGAGTGTAAAGATTCTCCTGTATCCCTCCTGCACCACGCACATTTTAAAGTTTACCCGCCTGAATCTCAACACTGTGCAATGCCACTCTCACTCTTACCATACATATCCCATATAAAAATAATGTACATGTCTTACCCATGGGCACTGCTCACTTTCCTCTGTGTTTTTCCCAAAGCACACACACCTCACTTCCCAGTATCTGTCTCAGATGAAGGATGGCTCATTCTTTACAGTAAGATCTTTAGCCAGTTTTAACACAGAAGAATATGCAAGATAACCAATCAGTGACTAGTCAGCATTGAATGTTCCTTAAAGTGATATTAAACAAACACGGTTTAATTTACGTTACCCTTCTTTTACTTTAAATGGATGATGGCTCTGTAACTATTTTAATAAAAACATTTTAAGTACAGGTGTACCTCGGTTTACAAACACCTCGGTTAACATAATTTTCGGTTTACGATTGAAAATCCATTGAAGATAATGCCTCGGTGTACAAATTTTTTTTCGCAATACAAAGTGTATGTCGGTGCCAATTTTTAAATGCAATTGCTGGCTTTTTTTTTTTCTTCACTACAGCTCACAGAATTAGCTGTCACTGTCCCTGGAGCTAAAAGGATACTTTGTTTCTTTTATCTCAGGAAACAAATTAAAAGGAAACATTGTTTCTTGTAACTCTGAGAAATAAACTAAAAAGAAACTCTCTCTTTCTTTCTTTTAGCTGGGGGGAAGTGACAGCTGATTCTCTGAGCTATAGTGAAGAAAAAAAAAAGCTGGTAATTACATTTAAAAAAAAGGAGAACTGACCTAAGGTGACAGACTTTTTTTTTTTTTTTTTTTTTTTTTACACTTTCTTCTAACCTCCGGAACGGATTAATTGGTTTTCAATGCATTCCTATGGGAAACTGCATTTCGGTTTACGAATTTTTCGCAATTCGAAACGTCCCGAAGAATGCATTAAATGCGTAAACCGAGGTACACCTGTATCGTTTTTCCTAATCTATATATATATTACATGACCCAGCTCTTTCCCAGCCTGTCTGCAGGGAAACAGTGGCAGGAGGAGCTTTTAGTCCTCTGCTGCTGGTCACATGTTCAAAATAAAAAAAAGGCCTTTTGGATACAGAGTAAAAATAAATCATTTATACATTATTAGTATCAATAAACAGTTAAATCATCATCCAAATATATTTGAAATCAAATATTTTATTATTTACGGCAATAACATGGTGTGGGTAGATTTCTGTCAGTCACAGGCTATGTCCCACCCCTCCAGCCTGTGTTTTAGAATAACAGGTAGGTGACGTCTCTATCAATCAAGATGTAATATCCCACACCCATTGTGTTTAGCTGGTTAGTGGGCATGAAGGAGGAGGGAGGAAGTGGGCTGTCATTTACCACTGTGTATATGCCCACAGATCTGACAAATTCCACCCAAATCCCCAAAAATGAACTGGACAAACTTATTGGCACCTTCTCAAAATTTTAAGAAATATTTGTATTCCAAGCTTTTGATGCTCCTGTAATTTGTAATTAAACTCACCTGTATCAATTAACAGGTGCTGACAATATACAAATCACACTGGCAACCAGGTAAAATGGTGAATAATTGACTCAACCTTTCTGTTGTGTGTGTCTGTCTCCAAAGATCTTAATGTTCCTGTGTCAACTGTGCGCAACACTATCAAGCTGTTTACAGCCCATGGCGTTGTAGCTAATCTCCCAGGACGTGGATGAAAGAGGAAAATTGATCAAAGATTGCAACAAAGGATTTTTCAAATAGTGGCTAAAGAACCTCAACCAACTTCCAGACAAATTCAAGCTGACCTTGAGGCACAGGGTAGAACGGTGTCAGCTTGCACTATACGTCACCATCTAAGACATTATGTTAGGAGACCCAGGAGGACAGGACCCCACTGCTGACACAGAAACATAAAAAAGCCAGGTTGCAGTTTGCCAAAAAGTACCTGAGGAAGCCAAAACTCTTTGAGCATGTGCTGTGGACAGACAAAACAAAATTACAGCTTTTTGATAAAGCCCATCATTCTACTGTTTTCAGAAAAAGCAATGAGGCCTTTAAAGAAAAGAATACAGTCCCTAAAGTCAAAAATGGTGGAGGTTCCCTGATGTTTTGGGGTTGCTTTGCTGCTTGGATGTCACAGGCACTGGATATCTTGACAGTGTGCATGGCATTATCAAATCTGAAGACTACCAAAGAATTCTGGGGTGCAATGTAGGGCCCAATGTCAGAAAGCTGGGTCTCCATCAGAGGTCATGGGTCATACAGCAGGACAATGACCTAAAGCACAAGTCAAAAAGAAATGGTTTTAGACAAAGCACTGGAGAGTACTGAACTGGCCGGCAATGAGTCCAGATCTCAATTCCATAGAGCACCTCTGGAGAGATCTCAAAACAGCAGTTGGGAAAAGGAACCCTTCCAATCTGACAGACCTGGAGCAGATGGTGAAAGAGTGGTACAAGAAACTCATTGATGTTTACAGAAAGCTATTGATTTCAGTTATTTTTTCCAGGGGGTATGCTTACCAAATATTAAATTGACTGGACAAAATTATTGGCACTCTCCATTTTTGGGGGTTTTGCCCGGAATGTGATAGATTTGGATTTTTGTTTCTCCGCTTTTTTGTGTCATACCAATACAATCAAAAGAAATAAACATGAGAATGCCTAAATATTTGTAATTGCAACAATTTTCTGGGCGAAGTGGTGCATTATCTGCCAGAAATACAGGGGTGCCAATATTTTTGGCCATGACTAACTATATAATTTTTATCTTAATATAATTATTTTTGATAATCTTTCTCTTTTCAGGGTTTCTGGCAACTCGTCACAGTTTTGCATCTTTCCACCACTATTTCCTACTGGGTGTGAGCAGGGTGGCAAAGGTGACCCGGGAAACCAGCTTGACATTGTGTGAGGAGTTGCATCATGTCGTGATGCCAACAGAGCATACGTGGGAAGAGTTAGCAGATTAATTTTGGGAGAAATCTCAGTTTCCCAACTGTATTGAAGCCCTGGATGGAAAGCAGGTTAGGGAGGGAATTTCACCAAACCCTGGGCCTAAGTATTTCAACTGCAAGAAATACTTTCCAATTGTTCTACTGGGATTGGTGGACGCCCACCTCCATTTTATAGGACGTGGAGTCAAGAAGATTTCAAAATCTTCAGTCTGCTGTGGTGTAGGCTGTATGAATGACATCTAAAGATCCCCCTAAGGAGGCCTGTTCCATGTAACATGGAGCCAAGTCTGCCATTTGTCATTGTAGCCGATGAGGCATTTAGACTAGCAGAGAACTTAAAAGGAGAAGTACAGCCAAAGCTATTTTGGCTATACTTCTCCTATGGATTACAGGGGTGCAGTCCGTTCTGCACTTCTGTGACCCGGTTTCAGCTGAGAGTGGGCTGAAGCCCGCTGTTGGCCGATGTCACTCAGCCGGTCCAGTCTGGATCAACCCCACAGTCTAGAACGGCATTTGGCTCAGCCTCTCAGTGATCTGCTGAAAGCCTGAACCAGCTGCTCCCTTCCCCTCCACAGCCCAGCGCTCCAGTGAGAGGGGGGGGGGGGGGGGAGCAGACAGCGGTGACTAACAGCCACTGCTCTCTGCTCAGAATGGCTGTGGGAAATCAAAGATCATGTGATCACTGAGATCTCATTCTTCGAGCCACCGGGGTACAGATGAAGCATCAGACCAATGCTGCATCCACCTAGGTAAGTATGATTAAAAAAAAAAAAAAAAAAAAAATGCCATACTTCTTTAATTTAATGCGGCCCTACAATGTACATAGACTTAGATACAAAGAGAAGATTTTCAGCTACCGACTTAGCTGTACCCATTCTGTTCTGGAGTTTGAATTTGGACTCTGTACTGCTAAGTGGCGTAAACTCCTTTCCGCTATTCAATTGTATATGGAAAATGCAATAAAAGTGTTGGTGGCCTGCTGTGCGCTACACAATTTTTTAATTGAAAAAGAGAACAACTCCTCTGAATATACACCCCCAAACCCTGCTGAAGATGTCCAGTTTATAGACTTGCACTTGTTTTTTTTTTTATGTAATGAACATTCTAAATCAATTTGTTGATTTCTTTGTGTTTTTGCAAGATGAATATGTAGAATTCTTCAAAATGCCAGGGTAGTACAAACACCCCCCAAATGACCCCTTATTGGAAAGCAGATGCCCTAAACTATTTGCTGAGAGGCATGTTGAGTCCATGGAAGATTTTGTTTTTTTGCACAAGTTTTTGGAAAATGGCAAACATTTTTATTTTTATTTTACACATAGTTGTCATTTAAATGGTATATTGCTCACACATATGCAATGGGTATATTTGGAAATACACCTCAAAATATATTCTGCTACTTCTCCTAAGTATGGGGATACCACATGTGAGACTTTTTGGGAGCCTAGCTGCATACAGGAGCCCGAAATCCAAAGACCCCTTTGAAAGGCTGATGCACTTCCTCACTACCTATCACAATTTCAGAGGCTCTGAAATTCCAGGATAGCACAACGCTCCAAATTACTGCATTTTGGGGAAATTAGACACCCCAAATTATTTGCTGAAAGACATATTGAGTTAATGGAAAAAAAAAATGTTATCGCTAACTTTTGGAAAATGACAAAAATAAATTATCTTCTTTTTTCACAATTTGCTTTTTGCACACAAAGTTGTCACTTAAATTATATATTGTCCACACATGCCATGGGTATATGTGGAATTATACTCCAAAATACATTCTGCTACTTCTACAGAGTATGGAGATACCACATGTATGAGACTTTTTGGGAGCCTTGCCGCACACAGGAACCCGAAATCCAATGACCCCTTGGAAAGCCTAAAGAAGCGTAATTTCCTCATTTAACTTTCTCACTACCTATCACAGTTTAGG